CGTCATTTCAATTTGATGATTATTTCCCTTTTTATGAGGAGGGCGTGGCCTGCTCTCTGTATGTATACATATATACGACGTGTATACTCTGAGTGTATATAGAACTCCCAGGAAAACACTAGACAGACCTATATATATATTTCTCCCGGTTTGAGTAATCCTGTTTTTTTTGTTTTTTTTTATTTATTTTTCTACTTGTGTCCTCGTAATCTTCGGTACCTTTTTTCTTTTTTTTTCTGAAGCCGTTTTTATTTTATTTCAAGGTTTTCTGTTTTGTTTATTTTGCATTTGTAAAACCGTATTTACCTTTTAAAATCTATTTTCCTAAAAGTATATCTTTAAATTATTTATTATACGAAGAAAAAAAAAACATGAAATTGTTGGATCGGTTTTTAGATACAAAAACAGAAGAAAAAAAAAAGAAACAAAAAAAATGGAGGAAAAAAAAAAAACCCAAATCCAGAGCGAGAGTTTTTTCTTTTCTCCGAAACACAAAAATGTTTATTGTTTAACATGAAATAAAAACACTTAACAAAGCCTTTTCCCTGGCGTGTGCGCCGTGTCTTCTTCATCGTTCAACCTGTGCAAATCTCAGGCTGGCGGCTGCATTCGTTTTCCCATTTATTTGTCACCTGATGATCCTGCCACTAACACACTTCCTGTCCTAGGGTGACAACACTCCGTATCATCTCCATGACTTAAAAGGAGAACTATGAGGGGGGGGTGCTTTTCACTCACCTCATAGTTCTAGCCGACCTGTGACAATGAGACTGTCACAGGTCGGCTCAGTAGATCGGGAGGTGAGCGAACACATACCGGCGTTCGCTCACCTCTCGATCCTGTCACAGCTCTCTGCCGTGACAGGGGAGGGGCTGGATTCCCCCGTCCCCGCTCCGCCAGCGCTGACTGGCAGAATGGACGGGGGAGGGGCGGGTACAGCTGGCTCTGGCTCTAGATAGGCAGAGCCAGCTGTCACTCACGCAGCTGGGCGGATCCTGTCATCTAAGTCGGGATCCGCTTCGGCTGCGGCGCCTCAGTATACAGCGAGCTGTAGCTCGCGGTATACTAAGCTTTGGGTGACGGGAGGACGCTAGTTTGTGTCCTCCTGTTACCCTAAGGAGAACTATGGGGAAAAACACTGACCCCATAGTTCTCCTTTTAAGGGAGTGGTATTCTGTAGTCCTGTCCTTGGGTGACAACTCACTGTAAGTTATGGAGGGCCAGTGTTGTCACCCTAGGATGGGACTACAGCATACCTCCCCTTCTTATCTCCGTGCCTTAAGCAAGCAGTGCTCTGTACTCCTGTCCTAGGGTGACAACTCACTGTACTTTATGTAGGAGCAGTGTTGTCACTTTACGGAGGAGCAGCTTGGTTACCCTAGGACTGGACTGCAGCATAGCTCCACCTCTAATCATATCCGTGACTTAAGGGAGCAGTGTTCTGTAGTCCTGTCCGAAGGTGACAACTCACTGAACTTTATGGAGGTGCAGTGTTGTCATCCCAGGACAGGACTGTCTTCAGCTAGCAGTGCTCAGTAGTCTTGTCCTAGGGTGACAACTCACTGTACTTTATCTGTGGCGGAGGAGTGTTGTCACCTTAGGATGGGAATACAAAATATATCCCCCCTCTACTCACCTGCTTGAATTAGGGAGGTGGTTTTCTATATTACTGCCCTAGGGTGACAACGTACTGTACTTCATGGAGCAGCAGTGTTGTCACCCTAGGATGGGACTACAGAATACCTCCACCTCTAACCATCTCCATGACTTAAGGGAGCAGTGTTCTGTAGTCCTGTCCTAGGGTGACAGCACACTGAACTTTATGGAGGAGCAGTGTTGTCACTGTACGGCAAGAATGCAAAATATATCCCCCTTCACTGTTAGAGTAGACTTAAGGAAGTGGTGCTCTGTAGTCCTGTCCTAGGGTGACAACAATGCTCTTCTTTCGTTGTCAGAGGAGAATTCAGACAGGGCTGACAACAACGCTTCAGTGCAGCTAAGCTGTCTGCTCACTACAGGAAGTTAGTAGCTCACTAGATTTCTGGCTGGATCGCTGTCTATCTCTGTGCTTGCATTGTTATATGGATGTGTGTCGTCGTCGTCCCCCTCTGGGATCTGGAAGCAGCACAGCAGAAGTCATCTCCTTTCAGACACACTCTGTCATTGAACCCTCACCGGGATCTGTAGGGGGGGG